TTTTGAGAAGTCTTTCCAAGGTTTTAATCCAGAGTCTGTAAGTTTCTTACTAGTTCTTAATACATATCTCTGCTTTCAAATCTTGAAGCACGCTTTCCTCCTAAACTCAATGAACACCCAAGAAACACAATTCAAAGAACAATGTAAAGATTCAGTCCATGAAAAATGGACCACAACCATCCAATCACATGCTACAAAACAGAAATTGGTTGCAAGAGATCATGCGAACTTAAATTGAAAACAGAACCACCAAGATCAAGTATTACGAATTCTAAAGAAACTCAAGATTCATAAGAAAATCACTAACTTTAAGAAGAAAACTGACCAATAAGTTCAACATATGGAAACAGGACAAAAGGTAAACAAGTATAGAAGACGCACCTCAGTTTTGATGCGCGTTCTGAGCAGCTGCTGCACGTAATCCACAACCGCCTTCCGCCTCTGTTCGGAAACCACCGTGAGGCGAATGCACCGCAAAACCTCTCGGGTGGCCTCCTCGGCCCGTTGCCAATTCTCGTCCTTGATCGCGGAGGGGTGCGGATTAGGCTCGTGCCACCGCGAGCGAGGTGAATGGTGACCCTCCGACGCGTCGCCGTTGGCCAGCGGCGGCCACGACTGCAGATCGCCCATTCCAGAAAGAAGTCGACCCCCGGGAACAAAAGGCTCCCGGACTTCCCAATCCACGGCGAAAGAATCACGGTAGGATCGAGCGATCGATGCAATCAAGACGAAGGGCTCCCCTGACTCGATCGGGATTCAGTGGGAGAACGAAGGGGCGACAAAAGATCGCAAGAAACGGGCGGAAATGAGAGATCCGTGGGGGAGGAATTGGGCGCGGGGGGGGGGGGGGGGCGCGGAAGAGGGCGGAGTTAGGATGGGGTTTAGGTATCGGGAGCCGTTTCGAGGTTTCCAAGGGGATCGGTTTCCGGGGCTTGGGCGGAAACCCCCTCGGCCGCGTGGACGAACTATAATGGAGAGAAGGAAGCCCTTCAAAAGGTCGCTTTTTTTCCAATTATTTTTATAGGGGAAAAAGAAAAATTATTAAGACAACATAATCCACTAGTTTTTTTTTATGTTTAATATTTAATTTATTTTTATTTCCACACAATAAGAATAATATAAAAGGCACATGCAATATGACTAATTTGTCTTTAAGCCCTGTTAACTCACATGAGATATATATATATATATATATATAACCAAATAATTTTTGAATTATGGTGAAAACATGTATCTTTTATGACTATTCTATGTTTTATTTTCAATATATTTTTTTATGTGTTTTCTAAATGAAAAATGATAGTGCAAACACGATATACTTAATATGTGTGTCATATATTCTTAGTTATCATATATTTGAGATAAAGAAAGAATATTCATTACTCGTAGAATATGAAGATAATTTTATCACTATATCGACATCATCTACAAGGGTAAAGGGTAAGACTTTGGCTACTCCATAGTGACACGAAATGCATATTATTTTAATATTATATGATAATATCAATCATCAAATTTGTGTTTTCCACATTAAAAGAAATTAGTTATCCTTTTCTTTATCATAGATCCATTTGAATTTTATGGATGTTGATAACCAAGAGAGACATAATTGGTCTTTAGAGAGAAAACATCATATAACTGTAGCTCCCTCCATTAATACCTTGAAGACCCGTCTCTCCCACGAGGAGAGGATTTTGGAAATTCAACACGAGAGTTCATTATCTAATTCATTAATTCATCAGCTGACTCTTTCAACGTACGAAGAGCACCTTCGACCAAAAAGAGGGTGAAGCTTTTGGTTTTGGTTGTAAAGTGAATGATTTCATGAATCTTTCCCAGATATCAAACTCGAGAATCTAATCATTGCCCGTACAAATAAAATCTTTCTTGGATTCAATTATTTGCTAGCAATCCAAGAAGCTACCTTCCAGTATAATGTTACGACTTCAAAATTCATCCTAAAACTTATGATTTTTTAGTTGAAATTTAAGAATGATAAAATACATTCATCCTCTAAAGTAAAACTGATATGACTTTGATGTTTTGGGATCCCTCGATCAATATTATCCGATAAGATCCATACTATTCATCATTGGAATAACGAAGAATTATCTAACACATTTACCCTTCCAAAGTGGATGAATTTTAATATGAAACTAAATATGATATTACCAAGATCTAAACAGATTACATTAGTTATCTAATTTTGGCCTAACACATCATGGACAATAATAGATGACTGAGAGATGAACTGAGGTGGAGCTACGTGCTCCCTTCGTGTCAGGGAGGACACAAGCATCTTAGGACCACATCATCATCCTGGGGCAGGCACATGATCTCTCTCTCTCTCTCTCTCTCTCTCTCTCATGCAGATGCAGCAAGCGGACACGGCTGACGTCTCAATCCCTTCAAGATAAGCAATGCCCAAAGCCACACAGCAAAATATCTCTCACCCAGTATCGGCCACCGGGACCCAATCGGTGACCAAAGCATGCATCATGCTCATGCTACTAGTGTCAGATTCAAAGCTTTGCGAACTGCTGGATTCAGTGCCATGGTGTTCCGTAGATGTTTTCATGTCGCTCCTTTTGTCTTCCCATGCCTGCAACCCAGTCTTCTTCCCTGCGCTCAGTGTGTGATGGTTATCATCCCTTCTTCCCTCCTTATTCCTTGTTGCTAAAGCTAAAAGGGATGCCTTCTCCCATGTCTCCATCCTCCTCAGATTCCTCGCACCATCACTGCCCAAAAGAGTATTCGCCGAGAGACCAGTGAGAACCTAAAGAAAGAGAGGGATTCCTCTTTCGCCTGGCATAATTGGCTTCCGTTACTTCTCGCTGTGCGCCACAGAGAAGGGTCGCATGACGGCGTCCGCGCGCAGGCTGCTGGGCGCGTTCTCCGATACGCACGCGGCGGCCAACGGGACCAGGCCGCACACGGGCAGCGGCAATGCGGATTTCGACACCAACATGGTCATCATCCTGGCGGCGCTGCTCTGCGCCCTCATCTTCGCGCTGGGGCTGAACTCCATCGTGCGGTGCGCGCTGCGGTGCGGGCGGCGTCTGGCGTTCGAGACCCCCGAGGAGGCGGCCACCAGGCTGGCGGCGACGGGGCTCGAGAAGCGGGCGCTCCGCCGCATCCCCGTGGCGGTGTACGGCTCCGGGGCCGACATCCCCGCCACCGACTGCCCCATCTGCCTCACCGAGTTCGCCGACGGCGAGAAGGTCCGGGTGCTCCCGCGGTGCCACCACGGGTTCCACGTCAGGTGCATCGACAAGTGGCTGGCTTCCCACTCCTCCTGCCCGACCTGCCGGCAGTCGCTGCTCGACCATGGCACGGGGGACGGCGCATGCCGCAGCAACGGCGGCGGACATGGCGAGCTCACACTGGCCTAGCCAGTCGAGGTCCTCAGCTCTGGGTTCTTCTCGGCAATCAAATTGTTTAGGCATGTAAATTTGTAGGCTTGGCATGGAAACAGAGGAAGAAGATTGTGTCAAAAACAACTCTTCTTTTTCTTGATTTCTTTATGACTTTTTTTTCTATTTTATTTTTAGAGACAAAATGATTTCTGTTCTCCTATTTAAAATTCTAGCTTTAGAGTCTATTTATGAACACAGACTAAGAAATCAACAGTTGGCTCTCATTATATTTCTGTGTTCTTAATTACATTTGAATGTTTTTTTTTTCCCTATATTACATGCTGCAGAACTGTTTGGTCAAATTAAGATCACTAATTTTTCGATTATGATTTGTCATTGAAAATAAACTGTATAATATCATAAATTGAGGATTAAGAAGTTTTGGTAAAGATAATTCCATACATACTGCTGCTTTTTCGAGGCACTTGTAATGGTTTTCATGGCTCTGTCGGTAAGTAATTTAACGTTTAGAATGGATTATTATCTCTTAAATCGATGAAGAAATATTCTTATTATATTGTATTCATGTTCATCCCAACATCGATACATCATCCAACTTTCCGATCATATCATATCGGCCGAAACGATCATGGTGCATCCGCAAAGTCAAGCTCGTACCTCTTCCCGTACAACGGTTAATCCCTTTAGATCGATAGATGACGTCATGGAGTCTCTCTCGGCGAAGAGGAGAGAGAGAAACACGGTAAAAAGACACTAGAGAGGAAAAGAAAGCATAACTCGATTTCTCTTTCCATTTGTTCCTCGCTCTTTCTCTCTGTAGAGCTCGAGAAGCTTAACTTCCCACAGTGCGACACCATCTGAGGGTGAAAACTCTCTTCTTCACCCCCACCACTGACAGTTTCTCTCTCTCTCTCTCTCTCGCTCCTATCGTAGAGGTTCTCTCCGAGAGAGGAGACTTCGCCGTCGATGGGACTCTTAGCTCCTGTAGTATACCACAATGTTGCTTTGGCTTGAAAAAGAATGTGGTTCCGAGGACAAATGCATATGATCAGATTCATCCATTCCTTTATCAATCTTTTTATCATCATCAACCATATTTATTGTGGGTTCGGTTGATCCATGGAATAGTGGGAAGAGTGGGAAAGCTGATTGAGATGACGATAGAGAATAGGTCATGGTGCACTAGGAATCCATGGAATAGAATCTGATCTGCAAGTCGTCTTCTCTACTTTGGTAGCCCCCACCATCTCATTCCTCGAGCCAAGGAATGTCGAGTGAGGGAGGGGGGGACCTGCTTAAGGATTAAGCAAGCCATCCCCCTGCGCAAGTGTCCAACGTTCTCTCGATTGATCGTGTCGATGATGATGGTGCTCACGCAATGCGGTGACATGTCATCTCGTGTTTCTTCTCACCCTAATTGCTCCGCATTTAAGCCTTCTTTTCAAGGACAAGTTGAGCTTAATTACTTTCTGATGTGCATGTCTAAGCAATTGACCTCATAAGAGTCCATTTATTGTCCTGTATTAGATGATAAAATTGTGTATATCATTATTCAAAAGTGTTGATGGGCGTATTCTGGCATCTCTCCTACAATCGCAGTCAATCGTCTCATCAAAATCGATGTGGCACTCCGGAGCTGACATGGTGTGCATTCATCAACGTGATACCTTGATCCATACGAGATAATCATTTGCACTCACATCATCAACATAGACCCATACGAGATAATCGACTATGCCTACGTTGCTCGAGGTTGTATTAGACGATGCCACATAGAATGGAGCTGCTCGAGAAAGCATGAAGTGACACCACACGACATACAGCCATGCAAGTCAATCAGCACTATGCGGAGTGTATGGGCCAACTGCCTAGGGCGTTAGCGACCATTAACAGACTATGTACAGTCGGCTCTCAACTACGTGTATAAAAGTCAACCAGCTGGCCAACGTCAGGAGTCGGATCTCGGACACTTAATTCTATCCCATCATCACCGTAGTAACTTAAGCTTTGGAGGGGTCGAGTCGAGATTCCCCCTCTCGACTTCGGACTATGTGTAGGAGCCCAGCGATGAAGGAAAAGCAACCCCCAGCTCTACCTCGGATCAGCTCGATAGATGACATCCTGACCTGACCTAATGCCGGCTCTCGCCAACCAGAAAGCCACGTTGACGACCTTACACACTCGGATCGGATCGAGCCGTGTTGACAACTCGACAACGATGTCACAAGAGCATCCACCATCGAATAACTCCAGTGAACAACCTGGTGAGGAGGCACCTGCCACCATCTCCACCTTCGCCCTCGGAGGGCAACTCTCCACTCTCCTACATATGGATGGAAGTGTCTCAACTCAGACTCCAGGGTGTTATTGGCATTTGTTCAATGACCCCGAGCTCTCGCCTTCGAGTTGGCATGGGGTAGCAAGTCATGTTCATCGAGGCATTCCTTAACCTCACCCACCATATGCAATGGCTAGCTCAGCGGACTATCGCACCCCTCATACCCCAGCTAGCTCAGTAGACAACTCTCTCGCTATGGTCATTATCCATGATCCAATCTATGCTCATCTCTACACCTCACGATGCCACCCCAGTCGACCAGCCACCTTTAGCTCCAGATGCCCATCTCTCAACTGAGGAGCAATCGGGAGACCCGAGGCCAATGGCAAAGCACAGTGCTCACGCGCCCAAACATGCTGCCTCAACCTTCCCTAAAGCTGACATCCCATTATCCAACTTGGTAGATGACTCGTTCTGGGTCTAGTTGTGGTTGGTGAATTAGTGAAGTGTCTTGGTGCAGTGTCATAAGGTTCCGTTGGCAATGATGTAAGAACAACCAGTTGCCCGCCAACTTATTATGTGTGGGTTGTATGCAGAGGAACAGTGATGATACTCGAATTGTCTCAAATAATATAATTTTCTATTATAATTTATGTTAAATATAGTTAAAATATTTAAGTTTTAGTTATAAAACTTGGACCAGAAAAATAAGGTTTACAAATTAGAGCATTTGAATCCTAAAAAGATAAAATATCTTGAATTACCTATTCATTATCCTTTTTTTTTACGATAATGAAAGAGAAGAAAATTCTATTATACACTATTATTATTTTGAACTTTATTTTTATAGTATTATCTATGTATATTTTATTTTTTAACATAATATATAATTATGGGTCCAACAAATGATCCAATAACACAAGATTTGACCGGACATCGACTATGACCTGAATTCGATTTAAGCTGTTTGAACCGCTTCCGGTCCGGGCCGTTTACCTCCCCGGTTCGAACGTCGTAATACCTAATCCGTCACACTTGCGGACCCAAAGGGCTTTCTTCACAGGTGAACCAGAACCCGAAGCGGCGTCCCAGAGGAGCCCGGGAGATGGCGGCAGCAGTGGAGTCGAAGGTTTCGGGCGACGAAGGCCGCAACAAAGCTATCGCCTGTGCTGTATTCAAGCGCCTCTCGCTCGATCCGGTAAGCCTTCTCTTTGCAACCCATTAAAGTATCATCTTTAGGGTTTATGTCCCTTCATTCGTTCTTATTTAAATGAAAGAATTCTTTCCTCTGGTACGAATCCTTGTTGTTCTGGAAGTTCTAAGCGTCACAATTTTCGTGTAATGGCATTCTTTTTGGTTCTTTCTTGAATAAACGATGCATATATCCGGGCTTCTAGGTCGTGGTATACCTTGCGTTTGTTACTATGTGCCTTATCTTCTTCTCGTCCCATACCACGAAAACTTGGTTCCTAAATGATTTTAACTTTTTCCCAATTATTGAACTACTGCACCTTTGCCCTCATGTCACTAACTATACGAGAATTCTTCAATTATTTTATAATCCAGTTAAATGTGTAGGAGTGGCACTCACATTTTCATTTATGCTTAGATTTAGTGGCAACTTTAGGCTGTTAACAAATCTGCAATTCATATCATCCTGTGATGATATTCTTTATTTTTAATTCTGATTTCCTATTGGATTGTTAACCTAAAAACATCACCGAGTTATGCTCTCAAGCATCTATTTTGTTCATCTTTTGGTTCTGATGTCAGAAAAGAGAAAAAGAAAGAAGAAAATGTTCTTCTCATGTGTGTTTTTCTGTTTATATTTGTATATTTTGGCAACTTCGAGTGTTAGACTTTACCATTTGCTGGGAACATTGTAGCACCGAACTTTGCATGAAACTTTTGGTGTCTTGTAAATCCTTGAAACTTTGGTAGCAATTACAGTTTACTCTTAAACCATTTTGGTCCACGGTGACTGTTTTGCCAAACTATGCTTCCCCACTTCTTAATTTTATTAACATCCAGTGCATGGTTAAAGCTACATACATGTCTGAAGCGTTTCTTTACTTGTTTGGAAAACTTGAGTTTTTGGATATTTTCCATCTCTGGGTGCCTCTTTGAAGCAGTTTCCATCAAATCACGAGTCTTTACATTTGTCTATTATTTCATTCATGGTAGAAGTTTGGAGAATCAGCACATGCAGATTTTGCTACATACTCAGTAATGTGTTCCAGGCTTTTGACCCTTCCTGTCAAAAGTCTCGCATCTGTTAATCTGTAACACCAATATTAATATACGGTTGGTTTTCAGCCATGATGATAATTAAAGGCACTATGGTGGCAATCGGTTATAGATGTCTAAAATTTTCTTTATCAATTGAAGTTGTCTCAGTGCTCGTGTTCTGTATAAAGATATTGTGCTACATGCTTTGATATTACCTGAAAGAGTTTTTTTTGATATGTCTGTGAAAAAAATTGTATTTTATGCGAGTGGTGTTACATCTCATGCATATCTAGACTAAAGCTAAAAGTGGGAGGTGTATACCAGTAGCTGTTTTTTTCGTGGAGAACATACATTCTTTGTGACAGATTTATCTCATTAGTTAATTTTAAACTCATCATATGTACGCTAGTCTCTGACTCTCTGTCATCTGCTGAGAAGTGATTTTATGGTAGACATGGAGATTTGACAAATGGCGACTGATCTAATTTGGTTTTACAGAATAAGTTATCAAGTGAAAGCATTGGAGGGTCTGATATTGCCAGTCTGTTTTCAAACATATTGCAGTTATCGGAGAGTAAAGATTCTCTATCAAATGAAGATCAGGTAAGGATAGGTTTTCTGCAATTGTTTTATAGAAGTATGTGTTTTTCATCCGTACGATTCTTATCATAACTTTTCAAATGTCTGGTCTTAGATAATGAAGTGGGTAGCATTTGCAAGTAGCTTTCCCAGCAAAGCAGATGCATGCCTTGCATCACTTGATTACCTGAATGAGGATTTGAAACAGAAGGCTATTTTATTGGGCAATGGACTTGAACCATCAGTAGCTGACATTGTTGTGTTTTCAGCAGTCCATTCTTTTGTGGTACACATTATGTTAAATTTTTTTAAAATTTGTCTACTAATTTGTTGAAGTATACATCATGTCAATGATATCCTTTCATCCAGTCATTGTTTTACTTGTTAAATGAAGCATTGTGATATATTTTTGACAAACTGAATATTGCTAATAGCCATGACTGGGCAGTGGCAGCCAAAGTTGGAATATTAGGATTTTAAGTAGCAACTCTAGTTTGATACTTTAGTTATGTACTTTTGACAATGTTTGTGACAGTTGCTTGATTGCTTCTATACGACCATAAACAAATGTGCACTTATTCCTAGGTTGATGCATGTGCTTGTGAATGTAAGCTACGGTGCTTCGTATATTTCTTTGTTAATAGCAGTTAGATACAAATGCATGCTATTGAAAACTAAATAATGAGGGAAATTAATTAACCAAATTTGTAAGAGAATTTATGGTCAATTTCTATAGGAGTATTCTGGAACTGCTTAATATATTTTGAAAACAATAAAAAATAATTCTATTTACTGTTGACTTCTGAAAGTATGCTGCAAGTAAACAGACTTCCTGATCACAATATGTTACACTAGAAGAAATTACAGAGGGAAAGTGCGTGGCAAGGAGAGTGTCCCATGGGCAGATGGAAAAGGAGTGATTAAATCGTCGGTGAGTGAATACAAGGATAGGAAGTCAAAGATATGACTTCTTTTATCTAGATAGGATGAAGCACAGAATGTTGTATGGGTACTATCTAGTGTATAGTACGTATTACTTTGATTGATGGTTAAATTACAGATTAGTGTTTTTCTCTGGGAGATAAAACAGGTTGTTTTTGTCTTATCAACCGAAATTCTTGGGTTTTGGTTCTATACTTTTTGATACATGCCAAATTTGATCAGGATACAGATAATAGGTCACTCTCTTAATGTTTTTGAGCTTATGAACATGACAACCCAAAGCCCTTTCTGAGCCCCTTCTCATTTTTCCATACCATCCTCTGGCAGCCCGTAGCCCAATTCAATGCATACACCTTGTATATGCAGTTTTTGGGCAGCATAATTTGGATAGAAACAAAGATATTCAAACTATCATCTTTATTGGCTTACAACAACATCAATAACAACAAGCCATAATGTCCATGGATTTTTTCTTGTAAATGAGCTCTATGTAACATAATATCTCTTAAGTCATAGCATTCCTTAATAATAATAAATGTTATCAAACCGACTTTCACTTTCATATGGAGCCCTTTTTTCCTAAGTATGTTTGAGATCTGATTACTTGATTAAGCTTGAGATTTGTTGGCTATATTTAGCTTCTTAAAGGCTATGCGATTAAAGTTTCTGCTGTATCATTTAATTTATCACAAACTATGTTATTGTCAACCATGCATTATTTTAATGCTTCTGTGGTTACTTTATGCCAGAGTCATCTTGTTGGCATGGCCGTGCAAAAGTTCCCAAATGTAGTGAGGTGGATGGACTATATCCAGGTAGTTAACAGTTCTTGTTATAATTAGAACTTTTCATGATTTCCATGGGTTTTCAACATTATAAACTGATATGTCCTCTTGAGGACGTACTGAAATAAATGATTACTAGATAACTAAATACCAAGCATTTGATCATTTGTGTGGAGATGAATGCTTCGTTTTTGGGAAGAGAAGAGTTATTTTTGTGTTTCATTTATCAAATGTAATCCCTACAGAAAATATGGCAATAAAATGTTTGCAATGGCCACTGGACGCTTACCATCTAGGGTGCACTATTCCATGTAGAATTATAACATATTATAACCACATAAAACAAAACTTTGTATGTACTATGTTCTGAAATATTGTTCATGTGACCTTATTTGTGTCTGTATTCAACATGGTTTTTAAATGCTTGTATAGGTTGTGCTGTATCATATTTTATAGTTGGATTTGCAGAACATGTGGTTCCATATGTTCTCACATTTATGCAAGTGGTTGCATTAAACTTAGTTGGGTGGTTGGTTGTGCTGCTGTAAGTGATTCCATATCTTGATATTAACCATGGGTTTAATTGCTTCTTATATCGCATGGCACATAAGTGCACTATAGAGTTCCACGATTACCCATATTTGTGGCCGTGCCCACTTAAGTGATTTCCACGACCTTAAAATAAACTTTTTATGTGATGCTTATTCCTTAATAATGTACCACATTGAAATTTTAGATTCTCTCCTATTAAAATTTAATAATTGAGGAGAAAAGTGGAAATTAGAAGGGGTGGATAAGAGAAAGAGAAGAGAAGATGTTCATATTTTTGAAATAGTCTCTAGAATAGCCAAATTTATATAAAATATGTTAGATAGCCTTTTAATTAGGTTGATCTACATATATATACTCAGACACAAGTAATCCTAGGTAAACCATGACATGAGAGAACAATTTTATTAGGATTACTTGAGTGTCATGTTGAACCGCAACCAGTAATTATGTTCTTAAGATTTATTAATGCATGTATTTCAGTTTTCTTGAGTTAGAAGCACAGCTTCACCTCGTGGAAAGCACTGCTTGTAGTCATTCGTGATAAACTAAGACTTACTTTTAGTTGATTCTTTTGGATGCTGGCTCAATCACTCTTTTATTTGCTAAAGAGTAATAAAACTATCTTTACTGCCAAGTTAGTTGTCAACTATGCTGTTATGCTGATTTTAATGGCAATTCTCTCACTATTGGATTCAGAACAAGGAAGACTTTGGAGGAGTATTTGAAAAAATTGTGGTCAGCAAGCCTGATTTTCAACCTCTTGTGAGTAAACTTTGAATTTAATGATAGTCTTCTCAGTGCTGCTTGCTGTCTATGTCTTAGATTCTTCTTGGTAGCTAAGTAGCAATATATTCTCTCTTTATTTATATAATATCCCAAGTTATCTTTTGCTTTTGTAGTGTTATTCCTCTATTTTTATTGCATGTTGATTCTCTTGGATAATCTTTCTGATTAAGGCACTGATCCTTAGAAGAAACGCAAAGCATGTTTTAATATGAAAATAATATGAGTTTAATTGGTTAATGTGATTTTTCTATTCATGTTGTCATTTTTTGATCTAATCTTTGAATATGGTTTTGGTAATTGTTTTGTTGGGCCTGATGGAAATTATGAAGAAGGTTTCTGGTGATAGCAAAGCTCCTGAGGCTTTGGATAAAGATAGTGTGACAAATGAGAAGAAAAAGAAAGCACTCGAGAAGGAGTCATGTGAGAAGGATGCACAGTGCAGTATAAGTGTCCTCAACATACAAATTGGTGTTATATGTAAGGCATGGAGGCACCCATCGGCTGATAGGTAATTTTGTGCTTTTACAAAATTTAGTTCCTCCAGATGAGAACTCGATAAAGTATGATCTTTCCACAGTTTGTTGGTTGAGGAGATTGATTTGGGAGATGGTAGCTTGCGTCAGGTGGTTAGTGGTCTTGCAAAGTTTTACAGCTCAGAAGATCTTGTAGTAAGTTAATCTCACAGACAAGAAAAGTTGAAGATATACACTCCAAATGTCGACTATGATTAAATTGTACTTATACTTTTGAATTATTAATTCAGAATCGTCGGGTGGTACTAATAACAAATGTGAAGCCTGGAAAGCTGCGTGACGTTACGTCATCTGGATTGGTATATTTCATTTCTTTTTATTCCTCTATATTGTTGGTAATTGTGATAATCATTTGAGCTATCCACCTTGTGAAGTTTAACCTGGACTGTTTTGGTTCAGTGTTTCAGCATTCATATTGTTGTTCATACCATTTCTTGTAATCCATTTATTATCTGTTTCTTCCTGTTAACTCATCTCTGAGTGGTTAGCAGCGATACCTAGATGTTAGTTTTCTAGCATTGTGAAAATTTTACTAGAAGCAAAATACTAATTTCAGTCTATAATTGACCCATCGAATTACATATATGTCAGTCTGTTGATAAACATGATGATGTCGATTTAGATCATCAATAACTGCTTCAGTATCTGCTGCTCACATGATCTGCATGATTCTAAGTCCTTCCTTTTCCATCCCAACTCAGGACATCAATTTTTCATTTTGGAAATTTGAGTTCACCCTTCTGCTATCCATGTTAAGCCTATATCTCCAAATACTGTCTCTCCCCTGTTGTTTCATCAAGATCAGCTGAGTGCACTCCCGTGAGTTGCTACACAAGGTTTAATAATGATCAATGGACTGCCATTTATATTGCTGACCGGAGTCCTATTGGGCCTGAGATTATTCCATTGACTTCTATATAGAAATAAAGCTATTTTTTCGAGCTATCTAAGGTTGCATAATTCCATTCATCCATCAGATGTTGAGGCATATAATTGCATTTGTTCCCTATTTTAGCATCAACAATGAACTCGTTTGTGGTTTAGTGCTAACATCAGAGTTCGTCAACTGCTGCCTTTGGCTGTGGCTCATGATTCACTATGAGCCTAGTACAGTGCACATTCTCGTGATCATTGCTGTAGTTTGTCGAGGATTTATTTTTCTAAGATTAGAGGACAATCTTTCATATCTCTGGATTTATACTATGATATAGCCGACTAATAATCAAGGCTGTAGTCTTTACTAGATATGGGGCTAGAAAAACTTTGTAAAGAATAAAATAAGTTGCTGACATTTATTGTCTTTGATAAGTAGGGCATCCTTGTCCTTTACATGTGGTAAAAGAAGGGTAGGATTGAGGGACAGCAATATAAGAAAAGAGTGGGGAAGAGGCATTGTATGGTTATCATCAGTTAGAAAATTGAATAGCAAACTATTATAGAAAAAGTCCACTTTGCTGCTAAAAGTATTCAAGGATGACATGCTTTTTTACTTTATTTATTACCAATTAAGTCAGTTGGCATGTTCATTCCAAGGACCTTCAATTAAATGCAGATTCCAACAAATAATCATATCAAATTCTATCCTGCTGACTGAAACCTCAATCACGAAACTATTGCAATTTAGATGTTAGATATGCACTTCTTGATGACAAGAGGTTGAAAATTAAAACTGTACACTGGACAAATTGTTATTATGCATTAAGATGGGAGAAGCGGTAATGGATGTTTATACAATAGGAGTTTGTAGTTGGTGTTGATGTTGTTACCTGTGATTGGTGTTTGTTTTTCTATGAGCATTTTTGACTTAACCTCTTCCCTCATTTGATGCTAGAAAAGGATAAAAGGTCAAGCTTGAAAAGAAACAAAATTTGAAACTAACATTAAAGCATAAGTGAGTTGCACAAAGAAAGTGAACTCCCTACTGTCTTTAAATCACTGTTCATCTTGTGTTATCCATTCTCAATAAAGAGTCTTAGTCCCTAAAGCCAAGTATTTTAGAGCTTTGGACCTTGTTTGGGTCTCAACCAAATGAGTTTTCACACTTTGTTTTGTGAACCCAAGGCCTAGTTTGGTTTCTCTATTAAAGAAATACCTAAAGCCATATTTAAACCTTAACTCTAAAACACCCTCCTTGTTTTTTTTGATGCCGAAGAAGCTAATCACAGCATGATGGTGACAGGAGCCCCCCCAATGGAACTCTGGTGGGGAAGCCCTTTGTTTTAAGGGTGAGCATGATCGTGAAGAGGTCCATGGTTGCAGTTGTAAACAGATTGCTTCCTGCACTGGATGGACTGCATCTTGACAATTTTGCTTTGCAACAGAGTAAAATCTAAAAATTTCATTAATAAAAAATGGCAAGAAGTCAATAAAAAAATTAACCTATAAATTAGATACAGTAATAGATTTCCCATGGATTAATTTTTTTCCCTTACAAAGAAACTTGTAGCACCAACTCCTTTGGTGATTGCCGTCAACCATTACAAAAAAAAAAGATAACTATTTTGGTGACTCGTCTTGTGTTTTGCTTTTGAAACATTTTGAGGAAAATAGAAAAAGTGAGACTGAATTCACAACCATGAATTAGTCTTGCATTTATCCCTTATAATTTGTTGTTTTAACCTTCCAAAAAATACTGTATTTGTAAGTCACAGTCTTCTGTTCTCTTATAATTAGGTCTTATGTGCTTCTAATCAAGATCATACAGTTGTGGAGCCTTTGATTCCTCCAGAAGGTGCTTCACTTGGAGAGAAGATATCATTTTCAGGGTACTTTCTTTTTTATAATAAAGCTCTAACATATTGTTATGCTTCAATTTTGTCAAGGAGCAAAGACATTTATCCAACAAGGGAACTTATACTAGTTTATCTGTTTTTCGTAGCACATTTTCTCGTTTTAAGTTTTAACAGTCCACCGTAATTCTGTAAGCTAAAAATTAACTTGGTTTTGGTGTGATCTGATGATTGCTTTCTGAAGACAATGAGTTGCTGACAATGACTAGTGTAATACCCTGTGTTTTTTAAGACCCATTTAATAGCTGCTATGCTTAGTATAACTTTCCCCATTATGCAATTTTTTTTTCTGGTGCTATAGATATTATGTCATGTCTTATTATTGTCGTTGGCTTGTTGCTTATACGTTGGTAAAACTGGGTTTTTCTGTGGCATTGCAGATTATTGCCAAACAAATTACTACATCCAAAACTTGATGCGAAATGACAGTATTTTCACTGTATGATAATATCTTTGTGCTTCATATGGGGGGGGTCAATGGGTCTGAGACATTCTCTATGTTAGATAACAAACAATTATTGGCTTTTTATTAATGAATGCAAGTTATGCAAATCACTGTAAGTAGAGATCATATTTAAGAAACAACTAGAGGACAATTAGTAATCCTAGGGCTGTGCTGACACTGCCATACTTGAATATCCAAGCAAAACCTGTAATATTTGGATATAAGATTATCAAGAGATACAAAATTACATGAATGAGAACAACAAAAAATTGATAAAAGAGCATGCTAGCTAATACATTAGTTCAGACATCATCAAACCACTGTGACAGACCACTTTGTCTGTGCACAGGAATAAATTATATTCATATGTAAACTGCTGTTCTCCTGTTTGTTCCGAAAATTCTCATTTAAGATTTGACTACTTATTTGAGATGCATCATTCACATGATTCTGATATGTCTCCGTACTAGTATGATGTGCTTGAATAAAATTGCATAGGAGAAAGTTAGTCAATGATCTAGTGTAGAAAATTGCATAGGAAAAAGCGTGCCAATCGCATAGTGAAACATATCTGTGCAAATTGTTTGTGTCAATATACGTCTATATACACTTCTTTGAACAGAAAAGAGGCTTCATTTTTGGACTTTTCCTCCACTGCCATTCTTCCATGTGCTTTAAGATCAATAGGAAACAAAATAACGCAAGTGCAAGAGCGACAGCCATACAATACATTAAATGCATCCACAGGTGATTAGGCATAGAGCAACCTTTTCTGAAAACTCCTGTATTGTTTGGCCTTTCTCTTATCCATAAATAGAAATTCCACATCAACCCATCTTTTCTTGTTGAAATGTGGATTTCTTTCCATTTTGTGTAAGTCTCCTGATAAGGTTTGAGTCTCTCCCTTTGATATAAATCTTAATGGTATAGAAAATTTAAGTGTGTATATTTTATTGTGTCACTCAGCTGCTAGTGTACTTGATATTATCTCTTTTGAAACCTGATTATTTAATTCGTGTCTTGGTGAACTCATTTCTGTTCCTTTGCTGTCTAGGTATGATGGGAAGCCAGAAGATGTGCTAAATCCAAAGAAAAAGCAGTTAGAAAAAATCACACCGGTATGCATCCCTATGCGCCTTGATTCTGTTTATTTATTTTTTAAAAACTCTGATAAGTTGCTATTTCATGTCTTCTATTGTCTGGAACCTATTTTGATTCTTTATGTATATAATTATGTCTATGCTAATGGAATGTTTACTTGCGACAGTAAACATAGAGGTTGTGTAAGAGTCCTAGAGGTCACTATTGTATATGATCTAAAGATAAATTGCTGACCATATTTTATACAACTATCTAAAACTTCTCATGATTATGACCTAAAGAGATGAAGATTATGCTACAGCCTTTTCTAATATATAACAAAGAAGAAATTATTAGAAGCAAGCTGGAATATAGAGGAGGCTCTAGAGTTTTGATAATGTAACCTTGGTGATGAGTTGTCTAATTACATAAAAAGAAATCTCAATAATTAGTGTTTCAGAGGACTCTCTCTCTCTCTCTCTCTCTTAATTGATTCATTAGATTTCTTTCTGAAAATTATGTTTGGCTGTCTACCATGTATTGCAATTTTTATTGTTGGTGATCCAACTAAGTCTCGTTTGTCCCTTGCAACTATTTTGGATGCAGCATCTCTACACCGACGACAAGGGTGTGGCCACATACAAAGGAGTACCATTCATGACATCCGCAGGTCCATGCACCTCTTCCATCATCAAGGCAAGCGTGAAGTGAGCAAGCAATACGCTTGCTGTGCCAATCTTTCAATCATCGGTTTTCCAAGCTTACAGATACTGTGATGTTTTCAGAGGTATTGTTCTGATGGACTTGTGTGCGATTCTGATTTCTTTCAGAAATCATTGCTTTCTGGACGAAATGTTCCTTGTCGGTGGGTGATCTCGGTTGGCTATGCACAGTTTGGTTGAGTTCATAGCTATACACGTTCGATATGAATTTTGGCTAAAACGTCATTCGTTGGGATTACGAATCCGAAGTGTCTCATGTGGGATTACAAGGAAGACATCGAAACGAACACGTGTGATAACAGCACAAATGGGACCCAGCAGTCGGTGTCTCTTGGACACGTATCATCCAAATACGAAATGCAACCCACCATCGGCTCCAACCGTGGTGCCGTGAATGCGTATCAGCGAAATACGTAAACCCAGCCCGTTGGGACCCACCGTTTGCTCCACCATTGCGCCCTTTCACAGCGCTGGTAAAACCGAGAGGTAGGAATTACTCCAGAGCCTAAACTGACGTGTACTGAACGCCCCCTTAAACCTTCGCATGAAGAAGAAGAAAACCCCAATCGATCTTGGTTGGGTCCCTTCGCCAGCTCCTTTTTCTTCTCTTCTTTGCTGCGCACTCCTCCCTCTTTTCGGAATTCGGACTTTCCAATGGCTACCTCTCTCCATGCCTTCGTTCCCCTCCGTAATCCGAACCCTAATCTTTTTGCCACCCGAGCGGTGGCCTCCTTCTCCTTCCCATTGGGCGCCGTCCCCCGTCGACTGGATTCGTCCAATTCCCCGCTCTCGAGGAGGGGGTTGGGAACTCGTCTCGTGCTCGTGGATCGGAGGCCGACGAAGATTATTCCTCTTGCGGCTTCTGACGATGAACCGGTGAGCCACCTTTGTTGTTTCAAGCGCACCCATTCCGGCCCTATTGTCCATCGATTTATGTTCTTTGGATCGCGTTTTTGTTTGGTTCTTAGTCGGGCAGAGCAATGAGGATTGCGTGGTCTCCCTGTGGCTAATGTTGCAAAAGAATCAAGTTTTTGGTGCCGGTTCTGTCTCGTTTTCCTTTTAGGGGCGAATTAAGTTTTGTCTGTCTGGTGTTTCATGTACCCTTCTTGTGTTCGGTTTTTAGTCGGTTAGTGCAATAAGGCTGTCATTGTCTCCCTGTGGCTAGTATTTCAAAAAGATCGAATTTTTGTTGCTGGTGCTATCTCGTTTTCCTTTTAGGATTGCATTAAGATTTGTTGGTCTGGTAATTACACGTTGACAGAGTGCATTAAGGATTTAAGAGGCAAAAGTATATCGGACCGTGGATTAAATGGATTTAGGAACCACAAAGAGGAGAAAAAGTTATATGTTCAAAATTGTTAAATTTTCTGGCAATTCCTTCATAAAAGACTTGATTTGTAAGATTTTACTGAAAATAAATTAAGTTTATTCATTTAGAAAAAATTCCGGTCAGGGGCTGTTATCTCATCATTTGAAATGACACTTCCAATTTGTATAATTTAACTTTGTAGTCATATGTCGCTGAGGTTTCTTATCTGATGCATAGGTTTTAATGTCTGTGATAATTCTAATGTAGAAGCATTTAGATATTAAAGAGGAGGAAAGTGATGCTGAATTAAACGCTCGGGCAGCACAAGACCAATGGAAGGAGGCACTCGAACACTTCAAGACTGAAGCCCTGAAAGTCAAAGCTGTATCAGAAGAAGCATATGGGGTATACTCAAAGAAAGCAATGGAAATACTAATGGATACATCTGAGAAGCTCAAGATTCAAGCTGATAAAGCACAACAGGATTTGAGTATAATAGCCAAAGAGATCTCACAAGAAGGGAACAAGTATCTTGCTGCAGCAGCAAAGAATTCTCCTGATTCAGTTAAGGAAATTTTGGAAACTTATGCATCAGTGGATGAGTTAAAAAACATATCCTCCATCAGAGATTTTTACTTTGGAATTCCCTATGGTATGCATGAAGACATGTCTTCTTATTGGATTTCCATGGAAGTTTATTTTATGGCTTTTCTTCTTGTATTCTGTTGTCATAATTGATTATACCATCATCGACGATTTACATTTTTACATGGCCATCTTTACTAGGATATTTCTTTTTTTTTTCTTTTTGGTGTAGGTTCCTTTCTTGTCATTGGAGGATTCATGTATTTCATGCTGACTGGAAGTATTCCTGCCATTCGTTTTGGTGTTGTTCTTGGCACCGCAATTTTGGCTTTGAGTGTGTCAAGCTTGAGGTCATGGAAGAATGGGAAAACAACCCCACTTCTTTTGATAGGCCAAACTGGTTAGTCTATTCCGTCAAAGTATTATTCCCATTATTTGCTGCCTTATCCTCTTCTTCCCTGTCTCCTCTTCTCCTTCTCCTCTCTGCTACTTGAAATTAATAATCTTGGTCATAAATGTTGATGAGAAAGTGCATCACAAATTCTTCTAATGCGGTGTTGAGTTTTAAACACCGATTTGGCCAAAGGGACCATTGGTTAATATCATTATTGTCCTAGAGCTTCAAGTTCTAGAGACTGAGCTAGAGAATATCTTTGGTACACTTGATTCCTTGAATCTTATGGACTTTTCTTTTTTGCATTAAAATCTTTCTCATAAAACTAGTTACTATTACTGGTGCTTAGTGCTTCGATTGCAACACACAAGGTGTGAATATTTTGCTGTTTGGCTAGGTAGGTTACAAGTTATGACTCCTTGTTTGTTAATCATAAGCAAGTCAATGCCTTGTCATTGGTGCAGAAAAGTAATATGCATCTTAGAAGCTGGATGCAAATGATGGAATTAGGACTCAGGAGGTAGGCTAACCATGGCCTGTTACTTGGGATTAATAGACTTCATCTGAATTGGACCATCTCGTGTAGACATGGAGATTCATAATGCTAAAGACATGTCACATCAATATGCCATCGTGAAGCAATTAAAACATTGTGATGCTAAGATGCTCTTCAATTTGGGTTTCCAAGTTGCAGATCTGTTTATGGATTGTTGCATCAAGGTGTTGCTATCAGATCTTTGGTGGGATCTAGGTCCAAAAGAGATCCAATAGATGTTGCTCAGATGCTGACGTTTGCATCAGGGAAATATGCTGCTAACAAGATGAATAATCATTCCTGTCACTTGTTTATTGAAATCTCTTTTTGGTCCTTGGTTATCTGCCATGTACTATTCTTTGCAATACTGTTTCTCTGTAATCACATCTGCTTACAGTGATTCTGGTAATGCAGCAATTTCTGCTATTATCTTCTGCAGGCAGTGGCTGTTGTGTTCACAGGTAAAAGTTCCTTTAGTCATGCACAAATGAAAGATGTTCTAACATCATTAACTTTGATTTTATATTCTTCTGATATTGATTCAGAATTTTGGTAGTATTAATGATTTAATTTTTACCATGCAGAGGGGATCATTTCCAAATCTTTTACTGCTCCTTATCAGGTTAGTATGCAAAACTTGTCTATATCATTTGTCATATGTTGTGTTCTTCTAAGATTGGAAAAATTACCTGAGTTAAAAAAGGTTAAAACCGTTGGATGCTTTTAACACTCCAAACTATCTTAAGTGGATCCTTTTTTTCCGTATGCTTGCTGCATATCTCTGTTATTGTAAACAAGATAATTTGATCACATGGTCATATTTTGAAACTCATAAAAGTAATTATCACCTTATCTTAGTCACAATGAATCTGTCAACCATTCAAAATGACTTTTATTGTGTTAGCAGCATCACACACCAAGTTTTGCTCAGACATGATCATTTATGGTGTGTGGATTATAACGGACTGTCTATCCTGGTGAATCTTAGATCTGGCAGAAACCAACATCATGAATGGTGGCAGTTGGCCCCTTCAGAACCCACATCATTTGTGGGGAAACTAGTGATCCAAGTGATTTGTGTGTGAATTTTTTGTTAATTTATTGAGGATTTTAGGTATATCTTGATTAGTTCCATGTCAGGTGTTGATTGAGCTTTCAGTTGGTATGTGAGTCACCACTCACTTTTTCAAAATATTGAGCAACTTTTTTTCTTATCTTGTCTGGAAAGGCTTTTTCTTTCGAGCAAGAAAATTTTTGTAACCTCTTCATAATATTAAGCTACTCAGGCCAATGCCTCTGTTCTTTTATTAGTTAGGTCATGCTGAAGGGACAAATGGACTGGCTTTTATCAAATTTGATACTTGCAGAATTTGCTGTTGTGTCTTCAATATGCTTCTCATAACATTAGTGCTTTTAACCCCTGTCAGATAATCTTTTATTCTATCATAGAATCAGCTTTAGTATCTTACCTCAGGAAATAACCATCTTGTTTTGGTGAATAGCGGCATGATGGCAGGTTTCTATGCTTATAGAATCATAATCGATCATTACAACAAGGGCTCAAATGTGGAACAGAGCTCAGAGAGTTAATGGGCGTGACGGAGGTCAGTTGGATCTATCTTCCCACCTTAGGAACATTTAGTTAGCACAAGGTTTTCACTATAATACTAGTGTGTTATATTCTTTTGACACATTCATATAATCTATGGCTTTCAAGATCACAATCTAAGATCTTCTAGTTTGCAGAATATGATGAATGGGTTGGTGAAGGCAACTCTGAAGGGAAGTGACTGCTTTCCGCGCTGTCTCTTGACCTTGCCTTAAATCTTTTCAGTTTCTGTAACGCCAGGCGAGTAGCTGGATTATGGTGATTTTAGAATTTGCAGACGTATGAAAATGTTCAAATTTTGGCTTCCAGAGGATGTAATTTGTGTTGGCCATTTTTTGTCCTTTACTTGGCATGCAACTAAAGCTCATCTTTGAATTATTGGTTACTACTATCTGTTAAAGCTGTCTTGACTTGGCATTGTTAGGTATCAACTATTCTGCAGTGGTAGTAGCTACCGTCATGTGAAGCATATCAACGATTATGATTTCAGATTAATTAGGTCATGTCCAAATGAGCTTTCCAATTTGATTTGCCTCTACGGTTATCAGGATAAGGGTAAATATTTCCTCCAATCTAATTTGGCAGTAACCATTGTCACCAATCCAAAATTTACCATCTTTTAGCTTTCTCCAAGATTCTGCTGATCGAGTGCTGAAAGAATTTTGATGTTCGGTAGATTGTTTGGCCCCTACTGCCTTATCAGGTTTGTTCATTTTTATACCAATCGTTTCGAGTTTATATATATATGTTTTATCTTTATGTACTAACAATAAAATGTTTTGTTCAAACATGTATTTGTTCTGAGTTTATATTTTGGCGGAGTGGCGATGATAATTTTTTGCATGCGCACGAGATTACGGGATGACTGATCTTTATCAGTAGCAAAGTATTGCAAAGGTATTCTTCGTTGGTAAAACAAGAATATAGGCTAAACCTGTGAAAAAAAAAAAGATAAATAAATTTTTTGCACGTGTACGAGATTGCGGCATGACTGATCCTTATCAACACCCAAGTGTTGCAAAGGTAATTCTTCTTCGCTAAAACAGGAATATAGGGTAAACCTGTAAAAACAAAGTGGACATTTTTATCTGGGAGCCCGTTAAAAAAAAAAAAAAAACAAAAGGATCCACCTACACGGCCCGCAGAGCCGCCTCGTTTACTGCCTCATGCGCTATATAAGAAGAATGGAGAGACATCGAGGCCCTCGCGCGCGGCAACGGATAAAACTCCATCGTCGCCCCGCAGCAGAGGAGCGATCATCCATCAATGGCGGCTGCCCTCATCGCTGAGCCGTCTCTTCTCTCCTTCATCCTACCTTCTCCCGGTCCTCGCCGATCCATTTCGCCGCCTGAGAGGAAGCTGCGGGTCCACCGCAAGCCCTCGCTGCTTCCCGTCGCATCTCCCTCCCTCTCTCCCCCTTGCCCCTGCGCCGCAGGAACCCTAGACCTGGAGCCCGATGAAGAAAGCCCTAGCCGTAGCTTGAGTTCCAGACAAGATGGTAAAGAGGGTGGAAGAGACCGCCGGAGGGCGGTCAGGATCGCGTGGGAGAAGCTGGTCCGGTGGTCCCGGTCGTGGCGGTCGAAAGCCAAGAGCGACGTCCTCGAGGGGACCAAGAAGGTATTTAGGGTTTGGATCAATATGTTTGATCTTTAGTCGTGAAAATCAACTCAAGTTTTTTTATTTTTATTTTTATTTTATTTTTTTGTTTTTGGATGGCAATTTGATGGGATTAGGTTGTGGTTCTTGGTGGGGGATCTTTTGGGACAGCAATGGCAGCACATGTTGCGAGCAGGAAGGCTGAAATGGAAGTCGCAATGCTCCTTAGGGATGGTGATGTTTGTCGAGCTATCAATGAGACACACTTTAATTGGTAAGAGTTCTTGATAAACCATCCGTGCATTGTGTGAAAATTTCTGAGAATTCTTTGTAACATTACCCTGCATAAATTGATCATTTAAATTGGAACACCATGTTTATTGTTGAGAGAAAGAAGACAGTGCAGCTACACTACCCCTTCTTCATACATGTTGGTGAAGTGATGATTACTAATTTGGAAGAATTTTGATGCTTAGTGCCATGTTTTCTTACCAATGTTTGTACTTGATTTGTTGCTTTTTTAGTTTCTCTTGTCATAACTCATAAGTTCTCTGACATGGTCATAACACTATCCTTCATGTTATTGAAGTCACACTTAACTGTTGTAGCAAACTATCAAATGTAGTTCTCATAAAAGAGGAAGGAGAAGCATGAGTGTAAAAGTGAGCAATTAGTGTGAAAAGGCAAAACTTCATCCATTCACAATATACAGCCTAACGGAAACACAGGGTTTATTCTTCCTGGATTTAAAATTTTATTGTAGACAACAATGATTTTTTCCTTAAAATCTTAATTCTAGTGTGTTCTGGAGGTAAAGGTTAAATCTCGAGAATTAATAGTAATGTCTGTTTTATTAATTCATAGGGTAGAATATTAAGGTAATTTGACATGCCTAATAGCTTGATATAGCTTATTTTAAAAATGACTCTAGCCCAAACTACTATATCATGAGCCTATAGGTGTTCTGGCCTTCTTATAACAAAGGAAAATTTGGTTGAAGATCTCTGGGAAGCCATATATTGGGCTGCTTTTAATACCCTGAGAAAAGCTTTTACTTTGTTCAACTGTTAAAAAATTTCATGTATAGTTAGTTTGATTTTGAGAGGGTGAGCCTTTTTGTCACAGTGTGTCCTTCATCTGCTTTGATAGATTTGTTCTGTGTACTGTTGTCTGAAGAGAAGTACTTCTACTCATAATAGTTCTATTTTTTTTTTCCTTTGTCTCTCTTGCTACAGCAAGTATTTTCCAGAACATAAATTGCCAGAAAATATTGTTGCAACTACTCATAATAGTTCTATTTTTTTTCCTTTGTCTCTCTTGCTACAGCAAGTATTTTCCAGAACATAAATTGCCAGAAAATATTGTTGCAACGACCAGTGCCAAGGATGCTTTATTAGGAGCTGACTATTGCTTTCATGCTGTTCCTGTGCAGGTACCTTGATATCTTTAGGACTAATTTCTGGACTTGTCTCATTATCAGTATTTTCTATGTTGCATGAATAATATATTTGGCCTATGAAAATGGACTTTAAATCAAAGATCTTACTAATTCTGACACTTGTAACCCAGTCCATCTTTTGCAGTTCAGTTCATCCTTTCTTCGAGGCATTTCACAACATGTTGACCCGAACTTGCCATTTATATCTCTTAGCAAAGGGTTGGAACTAAATACTTTAAGGACAATGTCTCAAATCATTCCGCGTGCACTAGGAAATCCTCGTCAACCTTTTATAGTGCTATCGGGGCCTTCCTTTGCAGTAGAGTTGATGAGGAAAATGCCAACAGGTATTGCCTGTGAAATAAACATTATGCTTATTCTCTGGTATGATATTTGTTTCCTAGTCCATTTGATTGACAATTAAATGCCGTGCTTCTTAGATGATGATATATTATGTTTCAGTAAAACATGAGTCTGCAATCCTGCCATTTCATGTATGCATTGTGCATTTATTTTTCATTCCAGAAGCTAAGAGTCTTCTGATGTCCTTTCTTTTGTGGTGCAGCAATGGTGGTTGCATCAAAAGACAAAAAGTTAGCAAGTGCAGCTCAACAGTTATTAGCCTCTCCAAATCTTAGGATTAGCTCCTCAAGGTGAATAAGCATTCTTAGTTTCCAATATCGTGTAATGACTGTGATGCTTCTCTGAATTGATGCCAGTAGAGTATTTGTACATTTTATGCCTGTTATTTGATTTACCATCTTTGGAAACTTATACAACAAACTTTGAGACAAGCATGAATAAAAAAAAATATTACTTAAAGACAATTCAAATACAGTAAAATAAGTTTTTTTTAAAGCAAAAGAAAGTGATCAGAAACTCCAGTATTTTTCATTTATGCTCTGGTGATATGGAATTCAGTTAAATATTGGTATTCTGTATTATAGAATTCTAATTAATAAAAATGATTAACTTTCTTGATTGAATGTAAAGAATCAATTTACAATTTTGGTATACCATCGTCTTGGTGAATAGTTTCAACCATAACTTCCTCTGAATGAGCAAGACTTTTGGTTTTTGCTTAAAAGGAGAGGTACATGCATCAAGATTGCACTGCTGTTTCTTCATTATAATGTCTGTTTGTATAGTTCTCTTATTCAGTTAGTGTATATGAAAGAAGATTCTATTACTAGGTTCTTCATATAATTCATTGTAGTTTGTTTTGTAAATCTTCAATTTATGACTTGTGATACTTCAGCGATATTACAGGAGTGGAAATTGCAGGTGCACTGAAAAATGTACTTGCCATAGCAGCAGGCATTGTAGAGGGAATGAATCTTGGAAATAATTGTATGTCAGCTCTTGTGGCACAGGGTTGTTCTGAGATCCGATGGTTGGCAACAAAGGTACATATGATACATTAACATGTCTTGTCATTATTTGAACTTGCAGTAATTCTTTTTGTATACTGCAGTAACATTCTCACCTATTCTCTTTGTTCTGATCGCTGCTAGAATTATATATTTGAAAGGTGACAATTTTTTTGTATTCTTTTGAAGATGGGAGCAAAGCCAACAACACTTACTGGATTATCAGGGACTGGTGACATTATGCTTACATGTTTTGTCAATCTTTCGAGAAATCGAACAGTTGGGTTACGTCTTGGATCAGGAGAGAAGCTTGATGACATATTGAGTACAATGAATCAGGTTTCCATTAGGTCATTCAATTCTTAACAATGATATTGAAGCAAAACCCAGAGAGTATCAACTTGATGAAGCAATTTCTTCTCTAGGTTGCTGAAGGTGTATCTACAGCAGGGGCTGTTATTGCATTGGCCCAGAAGTACAATGTAAAGATGCCAGTTTTAACTGCAGTTGCTCGCATCATTGACAATGAGTTGACTCCAAAGAAGGCTGTTCTTGAGTTGATGAGCTTGCCACAGGTTACAACTGAGACGTTGGTTCTTTGCCTCTCAATGATGTTGATCTAATTTGAACTAGCATCTTTGAAGAAATACGGATATTGCACTGACTCTGACCTTCAAATCATTTATATGATACTTGCACATACATGAGAAGTTGGTATTAGAGTTGAGTTTTGGAAAATGAAATGATTGGAATCTTGGAAAAACAGAAGCAATAGAAGCCTATTATCCAAATTCTCACATGATTTTTGGGAAGTTTGCTGATATAGTCTTCGAGAACACAAGGACGACGTATTAAAATATTTTGCTTTATTAGTGACTTAGTTTGTAGACACATTTCTCAAATTTACAATGCTTTAGTAGGAAAACTTTAGATCTGTTGAGATTTGAAGTTGAAATTCCTTTTACATTTTAGGTTTGTGAAATGTTGTTTGCAAATGCAACGAATTGAAATTGGTGACTTTATGTTTGGTTAAGCTTTTAGTTAACTGAGAAAGGTCAAGATATTCTTATCGGCCTTATTGCTGATTTCATATTGTTAATTCTATTGCAGGTTGAAGAAGTTTGAGAAGCTTGTGAAGTTGAATTCACAGAGAGCTTAAAGAACTGATAAGATAGCCTTGTTGATGGTAAAACTGGACATCTGCAGTTTGTCATGCTCTGTTGGAGATAGAAGCCATCCTTGACCATGTCCAATTAAATCTTTGATGTACATCTTATCATGTTCCAATAGGGTCATTAATACTATTAGGAATGCGGGACTCTCTACCTGAAGACATTTTTTGTGGGAGAGATTATTTCATTTTGGAATCTTTTGCACCTTAATTTCAGAAAATTGACTGCTTATAACTGATATGTATGTGAATTAAAGGCAAATATTCAGTCTCTGAAGACAAAATTTTGTGTACTCGGCAACAAATGTAAGGTATGTTTTTCTATTGTAATTATACTTTCTTTTGCATACATGACAGGTGGCACATAGGTGGCACATGCAAACCAGGCATTTTACTAGAGGATGGAAGCTTGGTACATGAAGAAACCTACTCGGGTAGCAACAATCCAGTAGGTATGATCTTTGACTTATCTATTTAAAGTTGCATTAGAATTTGAATTTAATCGTAGGAGAGTGAGTCCCCTTTTGTTTTCCTCAGTCATATAATTTAGTTATTTCTAAAAGATAGTATGTAAAATTATATGAATTGGTGCCATCAATTTTCAAGTGGAATAGAACTTTCATGAGTAGTGACCTCAGTAGCAAGGATACTACTTACTATATATGTCATTCACAATGGATTGATAGGTCGAGCTCAGTGGTGAGGAAGTCTCTGGTATCTTCTTTTATCTTCAAGCTGTTAGTGAAGTGTAGGAAGTCATCTCAGATCCGACACTCGAGTCAGTGTGGGTGTTCTTGAGTTCAAGCTAGATTAGTTGGAAAGCTTAAGATCAGAATTATCATGTGAGATAACTTTTATAGTGTGTGATGAGAGAGGGATTGGGGAGTATGGTCTCTGCTCTTGTGGTTCAGAGACCATACTCGGTTGGTATGCTGAGTATGATGTGGCTCTTCACAGTCAGTTGGTATGGTGTACTTGTGGTGCTAGGAATCAGACCGTATGATGTAGTGGGCCCATTTAGGTCGATGGACAGGAAGTTTGATACTTCAGATGCGAGGGTCACATCATCAACGAAAGATTCTCCCTCGATGTACGGTTTTGATTTCTAGGCTAATACACAACTCCCACATACAAACAAATATTTTGTTCTTCTTTTCTTCAGAATTAATTCAGGCTGAGATATTGATCCCCTTCCTTTTCCTCCACATGTACACACACAAATCACTGCATGAAGATTAGTTTGCGTGTTCTACAGATGGTACATTTATAATCGTCTGTCTATTATTGCTGCAATGGTTGTCACACATGTAATCCAAGACTGCTTAAGAGGCTTGTTGATGGCATGGATATTTGTTCTCTCTCTCTCTCTCAATTGCCTAGACTCAGTAACAGTACCTCGTTTCTGTATTCACATTGTATCCATAAAACAACCTTAAACTAGCAGTGGAACTGCAAGAAGCCAGAATCAAATAGCCTTTTTTAAGTTGGCTGCCCTCATTCAACTTGGTACCTACCATCCATCATGGAGCTCCCAGCAGCATGTCAAGGTCCCAAAAACCTGTCATGGAGAATAGGGGCAGCTCCATCTCCATTTCGTCAATCGGCATCACCGTTCTCAGATCGCAGCCTGGCAAGCAATTGTCATGGCATCGATGACGGTCGACATCTACGGAGAGAGATGTTGGTACTGAAAGTTAGAGGAGGTGGAGTCACTGCCTACCTTCGAAGGGGGCTCTCTCATCTTTGAAAGTCAAATTTTGATCAATTTTAATTTTGACAAACATAATTCGATGAGTCCAAATTTATGGGTCCAATTTGGGTAGCTTAATTTTGGTTCTACCAATTAAATAGGGTTTGATTAGTCCAAAAGTTTTGATACAAAATTTTAAAAAATATAAATTATAGTATTTCTTTATAGTTTTATCACATGACATATTAATAATCATCGTTGCCTCGTGAGACAAGTTTTTGGTCCATCAGCTATTAGATTAGTATAATATGATTAAATTTTGATTATGATTATGACTAACAAAAAAAGTTAATAGAATTTCTTAAGAGATACCTTGATATGAGGGATCCATAATTATTATTCTAGATATTCTACTATCATCTTTTAGACTCATAATTATTAAAATAAATCAATTATTAAGAGATTATAGGTCTTCTCTTATCTTTTCTTTGTTCCTAATTTATTGCTCTTATTGGTTCTGTGAAGGATAAGAAGAGAGGAGAAGATGAATCTAGTTATTCTTGTAGATCGACATCATTGTAGCTTTTGAATCCGATGACTATACGCTTACATATCAGATAAAGATTTTTTGAATGACATTAAAATGTACATATCGTATATTTGATCTATCGTTATTTGATTTCAGTTTTTGATATTAAAATTTGTTGCATAATAGTAACATATTACGATTTTTATGCTTACAATTGGTATCAGAGCTATGTTTTTAAACTCATACTTTAAATCATAAAAGTATTTTAGATCTATTTTGTATTTATATTTGTTTGTTAGCACACTTCGCCCGTGAAAAGCTATTATTCGATTTTGATTTACGATGCTTAAACAATCTATTTGTATTGTTGATATATTTTCTATCTATTCTGTCTTATCATCTTCTTGCGAATGATGCGAAGTTTCATATATTTGATTGATGGACTATTGTCGACAGTTTACTGTCGACTATAGTATTGCAGAGGATGATGACCTTCGGTGGCTGTCAACCCAATCACGAACAGTGGTTACGTACACAACGAAAGCACCGTGAGGTGTGACAACTTTGCAATGGTTGGCCTACCTTAGTCGCAGGTGGCTGTAGCAGAGCTGCTACCTACAACGTCTACGATGATTGCAATAGTGCTACGGCTGCGGTGGTTGCCACGATTGTCGTTGCCTACAACGACTAAAGCAACACTGTTGTGGCGTTTGTTGGCTACGGTCGACGTCAATTGGATGCCAAAGGTTGCAATACCAAGCAGTTGCACAACGAACTCATAATCACCACCGAGTACCATAGTAATAGTGTGGTCTTCGATCGATGCATAATTGCGCGTGGGTGTGACAACACGGTGTGGTGATGGTAAACTTAATATTTCATCGCCTAAGAACAACTGTGCCACTACAGGTGGCAAGTAGGCGATGGACGATCGATGCACTACTTCGTAGCAACAACAACAAGGTGAGAATTAGGTTTTTTTAAAAAAATATAATTTTGCCCCTCAAAAATCAAAGAAATTATAATCCATGTTCTTAAATTCAACTTTGATAATTGTGCCCTTTATAAATTAGATATTTTCATTATACATCTCATGAAAAATTATAATTTTACCCTTAAAAAAATAAATTTTTTTAACTTTTTTATATATGCATTTGGGATTGACTATATGAATCTTTTATCATCATTAAGATCCATAAAAAAATATTATATATTTAATTTAGTTTAGAATAATTATATTTTTATTTATAATTTCTATTAAGATCTTTTTAGGTCTTCCTCAAATCATTTCCACTTCTTTTAATTACCATATCCATAAATCTCCTAAGCACATGCCCATATCTTCTTAAATAATTTTTTCTTATTTTATTCTCTCAAAATGATATTCAATTGTTCACGAATAAAAATCTTTTATCTTTCCTAATAGCTCCACACATCCATCTCAACATAACCATTATACAAATTTGTACACAATCCAAAAGTTGTACCAAAGTCAAAACTAAACATTAGTAGCTTGATAAATTAATATATAAAAGCATACACACATCATTAGTAAAATTGATTATTCTTGCCAAATTAGCTTGATACATCTCTACCAAAGCTAAATTTGATGAGGCAGAGAGATCAAACTAAACATCAGTAGCTTGATAAATCTTGTTAGGAGCACATACCATTAGTAAATTTGATGATTCTTATTGAAAATATGCCCTTCAGATAGTCATGAGAGAAGTGAACATCAACTATTAGATTATTCCTATAAATATTTCTTTTTTTAATTTTCGTGTTTCAAACTTAATCTGTATCTTGAAGTGAAGATTCAGGAAAGAAAAGAGAAAAGTACTAAACATATACATGGTGGAAAGTGGAAACAAGGCATGGTGGTTTCATCGGGCCGCAACAGCAGGGATTCCACTGCTGACAAGGTGATCTGCACCTGAGCTTTCTGATGATACAAATGAGACTGAGACTATCTTGCTAGAATCTGTTACCAGAGCTTCTGATGTAGCATCCTCAGGCATCATGTGAAGTATGTTTTCCAACTCCCTAACTACTTCTGACATCGGCGGTCTCACATCAGTCTCATCGTGGCAACATCCAAGAGCCAAAGAAATAAATTTCTCCATGCATTCCGAAGGGTAAGCATTCATGCGGCTGTCAATGATTGAGAACATCAATCCACATTGACAGGCAGTTTTCACCTGTAATAGGACAATAACAGCAGCCATCAGTGAATATGGGTTTGAATTTCTGCAAGACTAAGTACTTTTTATTTGGTGTAATGCAATATTTTTCCCAATACCATTAAAATCTTTTTTTTTTAGGTCACTTACTGCTATTTTGGATCTGATCAAATTATTTTTACTAAAATTTGAAAATTTTGACTTCAATCATATCTTTCAGGACCAGAACACTGTGGAGATGCATCAAAAGACAAAATTGATGTAGGATAGATGCCCAACTCAGTGTAGCATTTTTTATATCCTAAAAAACTGAGTCCTCCGCCAACTAGGAGAAGAATCCTGCCCAACTCAGTGTATTGTCATTGGTACAAATAGAGGCCTTGACCCCAAATTCTGTATCACATATCTTAGAGAAAAAAATAAAAGGACAAACGGACCCTTCTTTTTTACTACTCATATATTTGTAAGGATGATTTGATCTTACAAGGTTGAATTTCCCTTTCAGAAAGAGAGCTATGAACATTAATGCCACCATGAAGTCCACCTAACACCAGATTCATATAAAGAATATAGCAAAAGATCAAAATATGTTTCAACCTGCTTTTCATCATTTATTAGATTTCCAACATCTGTTGCATGTTTACTTGGATTCCTGTAATCTTTATAGCACAAATTCAAACAATATTCGTTTGCACTAGTGGAAAACTGTATAATAGCAGTTATAAGGTCCAAACATTATCAAGTATTTCATAAAGACATAGATAATATTTTTATTTTCTAATTACTGATCCCTTGTGTTTTATCTAATGAAGTTCAATAAACTTGAAGTTAAACAACTAAGCAAATTTCTGACACTGTTTTGGTCAGAAAATTTGAACTGAAAACTAGAATTGAAACATAATAGAAATGAAATACAAGTATTCAGATTTTTGTGATAGAGCTGAAAAGACTACGATTGTTTAATTATGCTGCAAGTTCCATTAATTGAAAATATTAACTGTTCAAAAGATAAAATATGAATTATCAATATAATTCCATAGAATATAAACTATGTTAAAGCATTAAATATAAACAATTGACTCTAAGCAATGATATTAAAGGTCTTAATAAACACAGTCAAACCTAAGCGATCATATTGATGGTCTTAATAAATAAGGAAGAATCACTTAATAAGCATTATAGTTGCAAAATGTCTCTCCCTCTTATTAAATTGTCATTATAGTTGAAGGCTTTACAATGTCAACGTTTAGTTTGCTAATCTGCAATATTTTGAAAATACAGATTACAAATTGAAATACTGGTTTCCCACAAAATCAATCCAGATTGAACAGGTACATAGATGAACCTGTACCAAGATAATCCACTGTTAATGCATCGGAGCAGCCCACTTATCTTATTTCCTATGGTTTCTCTTTAATTTTCCAATGAGGTTGAGTGGTACAACACAGGATATGCCGACACCATGGTACCATACCTATCAAATGGTCTGCCAGCATTCAACGTGGACTGACAATCCAAACCTTTGCAGGTAATAGGCTTAAAATTTGTCAGGAAAAAAAGGGAGGAAATCAGACTCCGTGCATTTGTAGAATCTCAATTATTTCAGATATTTGCTGCATCGCAATGTCATAAACAGTTGTCGCGCACCTGCAACAACTTTGTTCAATGAACCATTCATCGCTTTTGTATATATTGCCTTAGTTTTGTGTGTTTTTACTTGTAAAAATGTAAGTTCGAACATGTTGCAGCGCTACAGTGCGACTGCTCTCTACACCGGGCAAAACAGACCTGTTTTCTACAGACTGTTGCTGCACGCGAAACGTCAGCCATCTCAGCACCCTGGAACCACCCGGGTGGCACCATGGGAGATGGGGCATCGGTATAGTGTCGGGCGTTGAACAATCTTCACAAGTTTACACGTTAACTTGACGGAAACTTGCCTTCGCACCCAGTGAGCAGTTGTTTGTGGACTTGCAACCATTCGTTCAACCTTTTAAAGTCCTTGTTTTCCTCCTTCCCCTCTTTTCTCTCATACACGCAAGGTGCTCGCTGAATTGCTTGTAATGCTTCCCTTTTAGCGAGATATCGGGACTTGTCCGCCGTTCGTTTTCGATCTAATCAACTTTCTCTTTTACAGGTCCTTCGGGACCTGAGTGAGGTTGCAAATTGGCTGACCCTTTATGGACGCATATCGCAAAGGCACATCACGACTTAAGCAATCTCAACTAAGTCCAAGAAGTTGACGCAATGGTGCTTCACGACTTAGGCAACTAAAGCTAAGTCTGTGACTTTGCCCGAGGGTGCCTCATGGCTTAGACAATTCCAGCTAAGTCCATGATAACAAGATTCTGATAACAAACTCTACTGGATTTAATAGGCGAAATCACATGTTCACCCATATATAGAAGACATCTTGGTAGAAATTAGTTTCATACATGGCATTAATGAATGTGAGATATTCTCAAAATTTACCATTTTCTTAGCCATTACATCAGTGTAAGATACTAGGATTAATATCTACTGCACGACTTTAAAGCATTTATATTTTGTAAATAAAAACACTTCAGAATTTCTTGAATGTCTTTGACAAGTTCAAAACATAAAACAATGTGTTATTTGCATGACCATTCCATGACATAATAAAATTATGAGAAATGTGTAGTAAAAAATCTTTGTTTGCTGGATGATATTGTTATATTTAATGTCAAAGAGAGATATGTTTAGCATGAGTGCATACTATAATTATATGAAAGCTTGTTATCAAAATATGGTCTACAAGTTCCTCCAAACAATATATGAACGACAAATGTAACACTATTTCATAGTTAGATTTCCCAGATAGAATGAATGTGTCAAAATCTGAGAGAAATAGCATAACTATTTTAAGCCGAACTCTCTTCTAGAAAGAAAGTTTTTTAAGAACATTATGGAAGCAGTCATGTACCTCTCTAACTATGTTTTTGCCATGAGAAATTGGACGCATCCCAGTCAAGAGTTCCAAAAATACAACCCCAAGACTATAGACATCACTTCTATCTGTCAACTTGTGAGTTAGAAGATACTCCGGATCAAGGTATCCCTGAAACGTGAAGGGATCTGAATAAGTTGGAAAGAGAGAAGAGTGAAAGAAACAAAGGACAAAGCAGACATCACATAAATCATAGGCACAGGGATAAATCTAACATGTAAGGCCTTTGTTTCAAAACTTACAATGAGCTTGTTAACTAGAATCTACAAACTTTTTTCATTATTCAGCAGTTCAGCACTGATGCATTGTATTTTTAATAAGATAAAGATGGATATCAACAAAGTAATTCAGTTATTATAGATGACATTCAAAGAAATTCAATCACATTGCTACTATTCTGATGTAACTATATTATTATATAACCACTACTAAAATCTTGAGACTTTATACACTTTAATAAATTTATGGTGTGCAGTTCACCCTTCATAAAAGCTTTATGTATTGCTAAACTGCAGGACAAAGCAAACCCGAGTCATGTATTTGATTTTTAAAACAAGTACAAACTTTCTCAATGAAAGAACTATTTCAACAGAAAAAACTACCTAACTAGTATATTTTTTAAGTGACCTAAAAAGTTCAGTGTTCTGAATTTGAAGCATATATAATTATCGGTAAAAATCATCATATTACTGAATAGTTCAACTTCTTAGACAGGCTTCTTCATATTTGCAGCATGTCGAACAAATGTACTCTTATCAGAATGGACAGACATGCTTTTTCTTCCCATTAATTGCTACCATGTAAATTTCATTTGTCAAATACCTTTCTTAAAATGACTTAAAATAAGAATACATCAAGTTACTATCTTAAATATAGAGATTAAATATGTTTTGATAATGAATAATATATAATGCAATCGCATAAGTATACCATGTCAAGCCTGCTCTATAGTTATCAAATGTTTTATAGTAAGGAAGCAGATGTGTCCAAAAGCTTATGGGTTTAGGCCATACTTTGGGCATATATACATATGTACTCTAATGCCCATAATTTTGTCATAATGAATAATATATGTTTTGTCAAAATGTTCTCTAATGCCCATAATTTCTTCACTATATATACATATATACACACACACACAAATATATATATATACATATATATAGATATACATATACACACATATATATATATATACATATATATATATATATATATAATGTTCTAAATTAACCATGAATATTTGCAGTTATGATCTGAACAAATAAAGCAAAAAAGGAACAGACTATTGTACTTGCAGAAATCCAGACTTACTGGAGTGCCCTTTACTACAGTTGAAATATGACCAGGGGTGATGCCTTCAGCGTCATGTCCAGGGGCCAGTCGCGAGAGACCAAAATCAGCTACTTTAGCAACAAATTTGAAGTCTAATAATATATTGCTTGCTTTAATATCACGATGAAAAATTGGAGGATTTGCTTCACTATGTAGATACAAGATGCCCCTAGCAGAACCCAGTGCAATGTGCAACCGCTTAGAAAAACTCAGAGGTTCTGTACATTTAGCTGCTTAACATATAATGGTATCAGTTTAGACATCAACTAATTAAAAATACAAAAAAACCATTATTGTGGACGGTGCAATCCTATCATTAAAAAGAACATAAGAGCTTACAGAACTAAGATCTATTAAAAATATATATTTGTTAAATGAAGAAAAGGAGGTCTAACCATATTAGATTTAAGCAATGAAAGAAGATAACCTTTTAGAATATCTTTTGTCATTACAAATTTACAACATTAACATTTGATTACATTGTAAGGCATGCTGGCACCAGGCTAATATTGTTTATCTAAATTCTGAATTCAAAAGATTATGCTAACCACATGGTTGACCACCTACTCTATGAAAGATAGTAGTCAATCAACATGTGGCACCACAACTTTAACCCATAATAATTCCTTAGCTAGTAATTTCGATGATGAAAGGGAATTATGTGCATAATGCGGCGCTCATATCCTTGGACAGGAACCACACTTATCTCTACTTAGTTTTCTTGTTCAATCTTTCCAAATGAGGGTCATTCTTGAAACTCATTGATCAAGAAAAACAGGTCAAAGAAGGGGATTAAAAATTCAATTTGTTATCCTTACTAAAAGTATTACTAGAAAAGGAAATGAAAACAAGTAACCAAAATGCATCATAATAATGTTATAGAAAAACAATCCTACAATCAGGGTTTTTAATACTGTTCTGTACTGCCCTGTACGGGCGATACGTACCGGTCCACCAACTGATCGGCATGCGTACAGCCCACTATCGGGAGGTATTAGGTATTTGGCGATGGCGAGGTGAGGTGAGGAAGAAGAGGACGTTTGAAGAAGAGGGAGAAGCATCGAAAAAGAGGACCACAAAGTCACCAATGCATTGTCACCAGTGTCTCGATGAACTTGAGCTCATCGAACCTTGGTACAAACTTGTCTTCCATACCCTTTTCGATCCCGATCCGTCTCCGCCCTTCCTCGACGATCCCGATCCAGGAGGTAACGGCGAGGAGAGTCGTACCTATTTTGAGGAGGAGCTAGAGGCGCAGGGATTGGGGGAGGCGGCGACGAGAGCAACGGAAGAGGCAACCACGAGGAAGGCGGCGAAGATCCGGCCTTGTTCATCTCCGAACGGTCTCCTTCATCCACTACCACTGCACGGAGAACATTCCGATGTCGTCTTTGTTCTCCCCACCTCCTTGACATCGAAGTCCGCAGCCGAGACGACGAGGAGAAGGACAAGGCGATGACGACAAGGCTAAAATTGAATTTTATATATATTTTTAGGTATACCGCTCGATACCTTGTACCGTACCATACCAAGCAAAGCTCGGTACACCAGTACAATACAAGATTAAAAACCTTGCCTAGCATAAATATTTCTAAAAGCATGGCAAGAAAGGCACCATCATATATTACTAAATACCAATATGTTATTGTATAAACATATAGAACAGAGAAATGTGAAGCTCCATGATCATGCATTATAGAGCATGCATAGCAGCAACGTGCATCAAGTGGGCCTTATATATCCTTGGCACTTGACATGAAGATATAATGTGAAAGAACCTTAGATCTCAATCAAGACATGGTATGGTGATAGCTGAACTAAAAAAATCAAGAACATAAAAACCTCATTATTCCTTGACCTGTTTGACTGGGGTACTCTAGTTGACTTCAATAGCATACCAAGGTTCTTAGCTTACAACTGTCTTCGGCAATATGTGGTGAACTTATACTGTTCAATCTGAAAGAATTTATATATACCTCTCCCTCCGTAAATTTATCCATTCATGGTCATGCAACTTGGTCTTCTTTGACATACTCAACTACTAGGCCTCTTCAGTATTAGATGTCATCTAATGAGCATCTCTAATAGAGATCATAGTTCTCAGATCAACATTAAATGGTTATTTATGTGCCTTATATGTTAAGCTTCAAGGTCCATAGGCCTTGATTTAATTTAGGACAGATATAATATGGGGCTTTGCATTGATTGACATATTATACGTTAACCTTTTATCAATTAGTGTCTTGAGCAGGTTGAGAAAGTAATTAGAAAACTTCTTTTTTATTTAAGTTTAAACGGTAATGAATCTTGTATGATGAGACTAGGGGATGCTTCGACAAAGGTTCTAAATACCATTCGATAACAGTTTTGACAACCTATCAAACCAAAGTATACTGAGATGACAAGCAAGGCGCTGAACTGTACTGTCAGTTACACTGAAAAAAGTAATAAATAGGTGTACCAAGAAGGTGAGAGATAGCAAGTTGTACAGTCCATAACCAATACTTGGTCGAACCATCGAAACAGTAAAGCCTCCGCGTTTTACTCCTTATTTGATTACAGGCTTCAGGAACCCTCAAATATCTTAAGAATCGCCTAGTTGAAGAAGTTTACCCTTTTTGTGAAGTGTAACGATGATGTCATTGATTACTCCCATATCGGAACTGGATAGATGTTGTGATGGTCTGTAGGGCTAGATGGATGTGCTATCATTAACTTACGCTTCAGAATTTAGACCACAATGTTTAAACTCACAATGCATCGATTCTTCTATTGGGTTTGGTTGTGAGAATAACCTAGGCCATTCAATTGCAGTGCAACCCAAGCTAAGGTGGGCTTGGGTTTAGATTTTAAAATTTTGATCAAGTTTAAGTTATTCTTTTTTTTGGGAAATGATAATTAGCGAAGGCGAGATTTGAAACCAGAACCTTGCGATGGTTTGTCAAACTCTTTATTAGCTATGTTAGCCAGTATCTTCAAAAAAATTTATTGGATGAGGTTTCAAACCCTCAACCTTTGGTAAATGGTCAAGCTTAAGTTGATGTCACATGGCTTAATTAAAATTTGTACTAGGTATAGTGCAAGTATGAGGTACCTCTAGTTAACCCAACTCGATCTTCATGTTTCATTGGGAAAAGTTAGAGACAACTTGTTATTTCATTTGGGTGATCCTAAACAAATAATACAGAAAAAGCAAGAAATAAAGAAAGAAAGAAGAAAAAAAAAAGTACAAAATACATCAGTGGTCTCAGAAAACCCTAACAAAATAATCGAAAGAACACTATATAGTTGCAAGAATGCAAATATTAAGGCAAAGTCACATTTTATCTCATTCGAGATCCACCAACAGGTCATGTTAAATAAGTTGCGACCATTCACAAAATACATCAGTTGCAAACATGTTAAACAATAGCTTACATGAAAAAACCGTAATTATACATCAGGGGAACACTGGTAAAACATTTAAAATCAAGTGAATGTGGACATGTTTCCTAAGCGCAAGTATTCTAGTTGCATCTGCTACTTACAGTAAGGATACTAAAATAGGTATCCTTACTGTAATCCTTCACACAAAATACATTGACAATGGGTTACATCTAGACAAACATATAATCCTTCACACAAAATGCATTGACAAATGGGTACATTTATACACATGTAAAACAGAAATAACAAAAAAATAATTGCATACTAAAATACATTGACAATGGGTCCAATTACCCTATTTGCAATGGATATGATGTCAATATTGGCGTATCTTGTGTAGCAGTATGATAGAATTTAGAAAGAATCAATCACATACTTCATTTGAATAAATGAGATTGAGGGTGAGCCTTGGCTCCATAATAAGCCACCACAAACATGTTTTTAGTATTATGCTTTTGTGTGCTCAAGTCCTACAAGGACTAGTTTGTCCAAATGATCCTATGTATCAAATTATTGGATGTTTATCTAATCAGCACAACTAAATTTTTTAGAGTTTGTGTGTTCCTCAGATCAAATACATTCAGAACTTCTATAATTTCTTGGTCGGAAGAATTGGACACGTGGATCTGTAAAGATCACCAGATTTAGTCTAGATCAGATACCTTGTCACTTGGTAACCATAAAAGTTCTATATTTTTCATATTTTCACACGCTTGGATCTAATTAGAAAAGCTTTAGAGCAAGATTCGCAATTTTGTACCGTACTAGAGTATTGAGCTCAGCTCAATATGGTACGATACTAGTATACCGAGAGGTACGCTCTAGCATACCGCTCGATATATAATAATAATAATAATAATAATAATAATAATAAAGTTAAAAAATAAAAAAGGACAACGTTGTCGAGGCGATGTTGCCTCGTTTCTTTTTCCCGCGAAGCCTCGACGATGTCACCGAGGCTTCTTCTCCCCCCGCGGATGAGGAGAAGTCACCGACGACGCCGAGGCCTCGTCGCCTCAGACAAGGAGGAGGTAACATCTCATCTGCGGCATCCGACGAGGGAGGGTGGCGACGGATCGGAATCGTCGAGGGAGAGCGACGTCGGATCTCCAAGTTCTCCCTTTTCTTCTCCCTCGGCTAATACCACCTGGTAAAGGGCAGCGACTGTCGAAATTGACCGATTTCGCATGGTAACGGGGCGAAAACAGCCCCAATCAACGGTACCGCCCGGTAGCAAGCGGTCTGCGTACTGGTCTACCAGCGGACTGGTACATGCCGCCCGGTATGGGAGATATCATTCGAAATTAAAAACGTAGCTTTGATGTACCCTTTCAAAATCTGGTCTTATATACTAAATTATCAAATCTGGACTAATCAGATGCACATCTAAATTCATAGAGACAGTGTGTTCAGATTGTTAATGAATTTGGTGAGATCCCTTTTAAGTTTGTCTCACTCCATCAGATTTAGTGGATGTTCATATTCTGAACTAATTTTAGCCTCTTTTTGGCTCTATATATTACACAAATTAGAAGCATTGTCTGAAGTCTGAAACAGATTGGATCTCTACTATACTGACTCAACTTTGATATGAACGTAGCTCAACTGGGTTGCAGCACTAATAAGACTAGTAAAGACCTCACCGGGTCGAACCCAATGGTATCAAAGTAGACCTAGTTTTAAGGGCCTAATAGGAAAGACCTACCCATGAATAAGACTAGTATGACTAGAGATGTTTATGGCATAGAAGCATCACTCAGCTGGATCTCATGTGCATTATACTATGATCTGATTTAAGGTAATGTTTGGTCTTTGAACGTAAAGTTTTTAAGCAAGGAAGATTATCATACACCAATTTGGAAGATACTTGAGCCCATTTATAGGTTAAATGGATCTACTACTATTAACTTGAATTTAGGTACTTTTGGTCATACGGTTCTAGGCCTAATAAGTTAATAGGTCAGTTATCCCATCGGATTGGATTGTAATAGGCCTAAAGAAAAATACTTGGCATGGGACATACTAGGTAATCCATAGGTTCAATACCATAGCCAGATGCCAAAGGAAGTAACATCCCATCTTATCCTAGATATCATCCTTACTATGCGTTCTATTTTTTGATGCAAGCCAGAAGAACTTAGGGGCAGCATTGGCTTCTTTGATGAGTTTTGAAAATAATTTAATTCCTGTTGAATATAGATGGCAAAGTTTTTTCATATATGGGTATAGCATAAGATAAACTAGGAGGACATTTGTGAATATGGAATTCACTTTTCATCAACTTATATGATTCTAAATCCCCATGAGCCTTACCTTGTTTAGGAACAGTATATGGAAGGGTGAAAGTCCAAATAAAGGTTCGTAGATACTAGAGACAACTGAGAACTATACTTATCATTATTATTGTATTTTTCCTTGTTAATCTCTATTTCTATTCTACTGCCACTAGTCCTTCTCTCTCAATTTCTCTCTTGAAGGATACCTTCTTTCTTAAAAAAAGGAAGTCCCTGATAGGAGGGAAAAATATTATCAATTATTTGACAAAACTAACCATGGTAATAAATGAGAATTTGTACATCTTGACAAGAAGATAAATACCCTGACGAGGGTTATCTAAGAAAATCACAGATCGAGAAAAAAAAGGTATTAGATTTAGATGTTCAATCACACCCTTGCCTTCTTACCCCTACCCTTCCCTCTCTTTCCAAAGTCAGGGGTGGTAAACAGTGAAGGATTTAAATAGGTTAAAAGTACCATCAGAAAGGCCACAAAAAGGAGCAAAAAAGTTCTTGAGCAAAACTCAATCCCTTTTCAGGTAAATTTGGTGGACAACCCCTTTCTTGTACTTGATTGTTGTCGAGGGTTCAAGAATTTGTAACAGCGATCTTGGCATGAAGTGACACATGAGCATTCAATGCAAGAGAAATGACTATAATATTAAGACATGCGTTTACCTCTCTTCCAATATCAAGCTTCCTTCCAGAGTGAGATGGACATCTTACAAGATATAGGAAATATAACTTCTTGCACAATAATAGGGTTATCACAGTACATAGTGCATCTTTTGATGAGATAATTGTGGATTTTCCTTATATACGACCTAATTAATTCTTGGTGGTTCTAGAGAGCTAGAAGTCTATACAGAAATATAGCTTCATAAACACTGTTGTGATTTTGACATAGGCATGTAAAATTCTTCACTATTACATAGATGACATTCTTTTTTATCATGTTCCCTGCTCTAGAGCAGTGATTTAAAAAGCGCTAGGCGCCAAAAGACGCCAAGGTCCAAAAACGCCCGAGGCGCTAGGTGCTCGCCCAGGCGCTCGCCCGAGCGAAGCGAGACGCTAAAATATAAAAATATATAATATAATTAATAAATATAATTATTTAAATTTTTAAATAAAAATATGCTATTTTAAATAAAAATTCTAGTCGCGAGCAGAGGGAAGGCTCGCGGGAGGCGCGAGCAGTTGGGAGGGCTCGCGGGAGTCTCGAGCAGCGGGAGGGCTCGCGGGAGGCGCGAGCAGCGAGAGTCGCGAGCAGAGGGAAGGCTCGCGAGAGGGCTCGCGAGAGGCGTGAGCAGCTGGAGGGCTCGCGGGAGTCGCGAGCTGTCACGGACAAACTTTGAAACA